ACAATAAGAAAAGACTTAACCATATCTTTTTGGATTGAATGGGAACATTCGGGAAAGCCCACATTTCTGTTGAATGGCAAAACTCTGTCTCAAAAGCAGCTTTGATTGAATGAGTGAAGTCTCACCAAACAAGATTAGTGAACTGTTGGGCAGGCCTTTCATTTCCACAAAGGTCATTCACTTTGAACCAGGCAAGATCACCATGGTAACCACAACTGAAGCAGGGGTTTGTTCAAGTTGTTGCTGTAGGACAGGGATGGGCAACTTTGATGGTGGTGGGGGCCACATCATTGATGTACTGGCCACCAGGGGGCCACAGATTCACTTGGAACACACACACACACAACAATTCCATGTGTTGTATGTAATTATTAACAAATATACTAAGTCTGACATTTTCATTGACATTTTACAATCAAAGGGAACATCCCCAAAAAATGGGAACATCCTCTAATAACCTCACTAAACAAATATCAGTTCACAGAAATGTTATTTCATTTTTACAAGTGGCATGTTTGTATTGAACAGGTTATTAAATAGTGGAAAAAAACTATTTTAAACTATTGGAAAGCACGGAAAATGTGTGTGTATTGAGATTAACGATTAGATGACATACACATGAAGTCATGAACACTAACCCAGACATTAGTTGTCTAACTTGAACCTAAAACACTTGTAGCCAGTCTCTGCATTCCCCTTATTCCACAATAAGGGGAATGTCAACACAGACACCTGTCAGCCCGCACTCTGCTGTTCCTCAGCGCCACTCCCCCTCCCTCCCGCTGAAATTATGAATGAAAAGCGTAGTAATCATAGATAACACGGCAGGGTCCGTGACAGTTTGTTTTCATCTGATTTCAAATAAACAAAGTCTTGGTTTTAAGAATATTAAACTTGTTTCGCCAAATTCAGATGATAAAAACAACTTTTAAGCTTGTAAAGGCATAATTACAAGAGGCAACTTAACGTCACAGCAGGCATAACAACAGCCGGTGTTTCTTGTGAGGGTTTCCCTGGGAAACAAACACAATACACACAAATGCGTCACAGATTATTTCGCGGTATTTGAAATCATCTACGCAGCTCGCGACGTAACTAGGAGTCTAGTGGACGGTATCAGTACTACAAGTAAAAAAAAAAGAAAATTTAAATTTTTATTTTTTTATTTATTACGTTGTTTATAAATTAATCTGAGGGCCGCAAAAAGAGGAGGTGGGGGCCGCATGCGGCCCGCGGGCCGCCATTTGCCCATCCCTGCTGTAGGACATAGCAGGGTCTTCAAATATATCTATGGAAGACAATACACTACACAAAATCTCCTCTGAGTTAGTTGATAGTATCACGGTCTGTTTGCAGAATGATGCCTAAACAGAGTGTCCAAATGTTACTTTCATTTTCTCTAATTATGATTTTAATAAATATTTCAGGCCTGTAGATCCCACTGTAGCAATACAAATGGCTACTAACAGATAGTTCATGGTTTACATAATTCTCTAGGGTCATCAATAATTAATACAAATTTCTAGTGCACATTCAATCTGGTAACAGATTTCACCCATATTTGTTGTCAGCACAGTGTGAGTCTAACTTAACAATGTTCACAGACTCAAAGATGTCCCACTGCCCTGATGAGTCCTCATTACAAGGCAGGGATGGGACTATTACTTTGGCATTGACACTATTTGCAGTTTGCCTCTCATTCAATATTGTGACACTTACTAACATGAGAAAATGGTCACCATATGAGCATCCCAATACAGTATGTGTCATCCCATATTTAAAATGTCGATTCATCTAGGTCTTGAAATTTCTGTTTACATTGCTATTACAGAAAGTTAATGGATCCTGTAGTTAAGAACAATAAAGAGTTTAAGCTGAAAGGCACTTAATAGACATCTGTAGAGTAAGATGTAAAAAATGCATGAACATAAACATCCATTCTTTTCAAATTGACGATTCAAAGTTGCATTGATTTCTTTAGCCACTAGCAGTTTAATGGTCACCACCAGATAGCTGTGTTTGTTGTTTGTAATGTCTGCTGCAGCTTGATACTAGCGGGAATATCTTTGTATGGATGGAGGGTGCTATCCGCGTCACTTGGCTCCTTCATATAGCCTGGCTTGGTATTGGGCAGAAACACTGGGAGATATCTTCATTTTTTACCCCAAGGTATTACGTAACCTTTCACTTAACAGGCCACTATTATGGCTTATAAATTGCCTCGGGGGCTACACCACCATTAGATCACATAACTACTGCAGTGACTCTGCTTGGCTGACTTGTTGACTCACTGTATCACTGGAGAGTATACACATTTCTAGTTACATTTGATTATTATAACTGACAATGCTATATAGTAAAATCACAGTGAATGTTTGACTAGTTGGGTTGATGGTTTGTTTAATTACAAACCCAAATGACTCTGAATCCCTGACTTACTGGCAAATGGACTGAAAATGTTGGGTATACCTGGTAGCATGACCACTAGCCTGACTTTCTGCCTGCTTGGCTGGTAATCTGAGAGGGATTGCATGTAATCCCATCAATCTCTGATGCAGAAATCACAACGGCGATGCATTAGATCATCTCTGGTAATCCATCTCCTGCTTGTAGACTTTGGCCCATTGAGCCTGTCTTTTTCTACTAAACTCAAGTATACCGGATGCAGGATCCATGGGTCTGAGTTCCTCCAAATCTTTATTTCACTGTAAACAGTTCATCCAATATCCCAAACCCATTAGTTGATCAGTCATGATTAGCCCCTAGAATGGAAAATGCCAGGGGTTATGGATGTTCCAGTAAAGCCTCTCCCACAGCACATTGGCCACTTAACATCATATAAGACTCAGTTTACCAAGATCAACTCTACCAAACCAGAGTTGATAAGTTTTAGGTTCTGAGTTGATCTCAAAACTTACCATGATCTCTCTTATTTTTCACAAAGCAGTTATATTTTTTGTTTAGTCTGTAAAGTAGAGTAATGTGGCCACAGAAGGAGGACAAATAATACTTAAGTTAAAACATTTCTTAGCTGACAGCAGTTAGACTGTACATTGACATTCATTTACACCTTGACTTAACATTTGCTTCACGTTCAGTCTGAACACACCTTCACTCATACAGAATGACAGAAGCAGAGACGCGCATTTAAAAGGCGATGGTTAGGCAAAGCTCAAGAGGCAAAACGTGTCAACCCCAAATAGATCCATCAGCACAAAACATTGTAACTTGGCCTATTGTCATTTTTTCCAAATTCCTGACCAGACCCCAAAGTTGCTACAGATACCAAACATGTCAGGTTTATGTGATTTTTTGCAATGGTGCAGCCATGTAGCTTCAGTAATATTTAGCAATAAGCAGATACAAAAAAGACACTCTGATGTTTACATAAACTTTAGAGCCACTTCTATCTAAAGCAACACTAGGTTACTTGTTTTGCCTTATACCGTATTCTTTGACATGTTGACTTCAGGGAATAAACACCCTGCCTTGTCACAGTGGTTTATGAAGTTTCATTTAGGGTCAGACAGCTTAACTAGTTGATTTAGAAATTCTAACCTCTAACTGCTGCTAATATTTGTCACTGTCAACGAATATGCTGTTAGCTCAGTCAGCCATGCAGCCATGACTGGGAATTTTGAGCAAAGGGGGAGTGTTGTTGTTTTTAATGCTAGTACAGAAGCTTTGGACCGCTGGGATGAGGAGGTTTTCAGGAGGAATGCTAGCAAGAAGGGATAGCATCTTAGTCATATTAGTAGCTTGCTATGTCTTAGTTGTTGCCCTTGCTTTATGTTTGGCGGATCTGCAAAAGTTATCCACTTGCTAATTCAGATCACTACTTAGCCTAGAGTTATCCTAACAAATGCATGTTTAACACTACAACTGTCCATTTGAAGATAGCAGTACATAATGTAATTGCACACTGTAGGGGTGCTAAATCACTATTTCCGACCACTACATCATGTTGCTTTAAGGGAATTTTAAAGAAGGAATCAGGATGTTCCTACTCAACTCGTATTGCTACACCTTGTCTGTACTGTGGTAGCTCAAATATGCATGACTGTACGATGCATTCATTTATTTTTCTTCAAACACAACACATTACATTTCAAATGTGACATGTTAGACTGAATAGGCTACCAAAAACAAAAACAGCCAGAGAGAGAAATACCTTAGATGGATGGAACAATGTGTACTAATCCACTCAGAGACAGAGGATGCAGTATGTGAGTCTCTATCCATGTATGTGTATGTAGGGTGGGGAGGATGGGTAGGCCTAATATTGTACGATAGGCTTAGGCATTATAGAACATCCGATTTTTCATGAAGACTCTGTAACATCGGAAAATAGGCATTATATAACAACGCCTTGGCTGATCTGGAGCTGCACCTGCTGCCTTTGAGAAAACTATACTCCTGTAGTAAATGTTATAGAGACACATATCACCAAAAGCATGGTTTATAGGATACACGAGTCCCACTTGGGACTATTTAATAGGCAGTCTTTAAAAGTCTACAATAGCATTGGATGAATTGAGGCTACTATACACTCTTGAATGATTACTGAAGAGTACTATGGGCGCGTGTCGCGACAATAAACGAATAAGTGTATAAGTGCTATAGTCTGGTGATTTTTCAGCATGAGGGGTGCACCATCCCGACTGCGGCACCACCATAACAAAGAGACATGAATCCGCGGAGTCTGCATGAGAGGCAGAGATCCCCCTCACACGCCCACTATCTTCAGCCATTGTGATGGGAAACACCGTGCACCACAATGTCGAATTGTATGTCCGCCATATAAAAAGCTAAATATAGGCCCATATCCATGCCACTGCAGTGCGAGACCTAAATATCGGTATAATTATGAATGTTAACATTCATGCAGATATGCACGAGGGGATGGCGCAGCACAGGGATACAGTACAAAGCAAACAACGTTTATCACTCAATGACACATCGTAAATCAGATAAACTAATTGTAAAAATCTGCTACTCACCGTTTTGATGTGTTCCGTTACTGTCAGAGCGTGTGTGTGTGTGTGTGACAGTCAGAGTGTGTGAAGGTGAAAATCTCCCCACCTTTCGCTACTTGCAGAGCAGACTGGTGCCAGGTCTCAGATATTAAGTCCCGCCCCTGCCAAGCGGCTCACCCAATCAATATCCGGGAACAGCAAAAGGGTCTACTCATCTGAATCTGATGCTGCTGCCTTCAAGTGCTGCTGTAAATGTGAAACTCTAGTTGGATATGCTCATGGATTTGCAAAACACATTACAGTAATTCACAGAAATAACATCTAATTTCAAACATTGGCTCAAGTTCTTCAAATATTAAGACAGACAAATACATATAACATATAACTTAACACAAATATATGCAAAAAAACTAAAGTAGCAAACATCTAATCGTTAAGAATTGTCCTCATAGATAAGACATTACTTATCTAAAAGCAGTTCGTTTTGGGCAACTTGACATTACTTAGGCCATGGGGAGTATGGAACATGGTCATCTGTGAGCAATGTTCTGGAGACTAATTCAGGAAATGATCATCACAATTGGTTCAAGTGTTCCATTACCATAAAACAAAAATTACACTTAAATTAAAACACTAAAGTGTTCGCAGTGGACTACTATTGATAGAAACATATATTTGGATCAAAGAGCAAGGCAAAAACCACATCATAACTCTTCAAAATGAATCAAATGCTAGTTTAGATTTGAAGCACACACTTCATCTAAACTCCTCTAGATGTATTATACATTTGAGGGGTCAACTGCCTTTAAATAAATATATTGTTGTATTACCTACTTACATAGGGCTTATAGCATGAACCAATGTAACATACTACAGCTGTAGAAAATGTCAATCCCTAAATAGGCCTTTAAAATACATAAATGTAACCCGACAGAACAGCACAAGCGACTAACAAGTTTAAGATGTTCTGTGGATGCATTTGTGATAACAACTCATATTTGCAAACAGTTGTATCTCTTTCCACGTTCAGTTTGATGCTTAGCGTATTAATGGAGCAAACTCAATGACCATCAGTTGCAGGCTGATGAAGCTAGCTAGATGACTGACTGGCTGTTTGTATGGCAGCCATTTCTATAGGATTATCTCGGATTATGGCTCCCATTTGATTTGGTGGTTTTGTTTATAATCTCTCAAATATTGCATACAGTCAACAGTACAGAAGGCACAACATCACATGCAGTGAAATAGCTGTAACTGTATGAATATCCATCGCAGTGATAATCAAGAACGTTGTCCATCAACAAATATTGACTTGTTCGGTTTTAAAATACCAATGCAGAACATTTTGTGTATCCTTTTGGATGGAGCGTTGATCAGACATTGTTTGAGTTTGTTTTCTCAAAAATGTTTTGTTTTAAAGTATTGATTGTTATTTTAATTGACTGAAGGAGTAAACATTCTTAAACCCCCTTGATGGAATTATAAATATCAGATTACTTTTCTAAAAATAAAGACTTATCATTAATTCAGGTCAAACCTCTGGACTGTGATTTGTCAGAAAACCTAGGCCTGTTGAAAACTGCACTTTTATGCACATCCGTTTTTCCTTGAAGTGGAGGTATTTTGTTTACTACACGCCTGCAGATGCAGCAGCTCTGGATGACTCAAACTGGAGGGCGTGGCAGCGAGTCTGCCATCTTCATCAGGTTCATGCAGAGGAGGAGTCATAGTGCTTTCTCTTCATTCACATCCTGCGTCACTGCCTGTCCTCTCCCCAGTTTATCATCCGATCCACCCTTCCTTCTCTCCTGGTCTGAGTGTTATTTAATAATCTGCCTGCCTGCATCATCTCCCCCTCCCTCTCTCTATTTCTTTCTATCATCAGCCTCCTTGTTACCTGTCGGGCACAAACTCAATCTGTCACAGCATATATCCTCTCTCCTCTTCATCACTCCTCTCATGCTGTATCATCCCTGCTTCTTACTCTTTTCCACTCCTCTTATCACTCCAAGGCTTTCCAGAGATTCTCCCTTGGATTTCTTCTTTAAATGAAAGAAAAAGTAGAGCATTCAATCAATTAGTCTTCCTATACTGACTCTTTACAGCTAGTAATTGCTATATTCACTTCCACACTGGTATAACAAATAAGCACATCTGATAAATGTCCTCAATTGATGTCACTTAAGTCAGCCTCAGTCTGCTGGAGGCTCGCTCTATCTAGGCTACATCAGCCAGTCCTGAACAGAGTATCTGGCCAAAGTGTTAGCATTGAGTTGCATTGTGGTTAATGTAGGTGTCAGGATTTGCCAAAGAAGAAGAACATGTCACTAATAAATTATAGCTCACCTTCTGCAACAATTTTGACACTTTCTTTAAATAGGATATTAGTCATTTTCTAAGAGGGAAATCAAGATATACATGTTGGTACAATCTATCCAAAAGTTGTTGATACACTTCATGCCAAAACAAAAATATCTGAAGGAAAGGTCAGAGAAGTCTGTAGGATACATCTTCTGGAGATCATGAATATTATATATGCATAATATCACGATCATTCAACATATAGTTGTTAGAGGTATATCAGTTTGGATCAAAGTGGTGGACCAACAGTCTGCCAATCACACAACCACAGACTAGTAACGTAGTCTATAATGGTGGTTGTCTATTATTGTTTCCATATGTAATTGTTTTCCTTTTTAAAGTAATTGGATCGGGTTGAACAGTGGTAATAAGACAGATGTTTGGTGGCCTTCTTTATACAGTATGTGTGTCCTTGAGTCATCCTCTCTGCTCCATATAGCACATGCATAAAACAATCTCTCATACAGCTTGATGGCCTCTTCACCCTGTTAATGGGAACACATCTAATATTGGATTTATATGTGTGATTCATGGATACTAATGGAAACTCTCATCAAACATTGGACCCATAATATCACAATGTCATCACAGTATGAGAAACTGTGTCAACACTTTAAAATCAATGTTATGCATTGTCACAAGTTAGACACTTCTATTATTGTTTGTTTGGTGGCTTAACTAAACTCTCCTGTCATTTCAGATCCCGCCTTCCTCCAGGCCCTTGTAATCAGCTCACTTCCCTCACCTGGTCTCCCCAGCCCTTCCTCTCACCTGTTACTCATTCCCTCATCACTCCACAGTATTTATACCACCTCACTATCACTTGTCCTTTGCCAGATTGTCTTGTCGTTTCCGCCAAGCTCTCCAGTGAGTGTTGTATTCTAGCCTAGATTTTTGTCCTGCCCGGTTTTTGATCCCTGCCTGCCTGTTTACGGATCTCGAGTTCCTGCCTGCTCCCTGTCTGGTTTTGGTTGCCTGTCTGACGGATTTACTGGTTTTGACCCTGCCTGTCCCTGACCTGAATAAACTGAACATTGCTATACACTGGTTGTATCTGAGTCGTGCTATTGGGTTCTGATCTGTACCTGTGATCGTGACAGTCATATGTTATTCTGTTTACATTAACATCTAAAGAATAAATGGTCAGAATTATTAAAAACACTATTGTTATTATTCATTGTGCAATGCAATAAAATGGATATTTATATTAGGTTCAATCCAGAAAGAATAGTGTACATCCTGTACTGAGTACCGGAGTGTAGGAGTACTCTGTTACAAGAAAAATACCTCTATTCCAAATGTTACTCAAGTTAAAGTAAACTAGTATTAGCAACAAAATATATTTAATCGAGTAAAAGTACTTATTGTGCAAATTGGTTCTTTTCAGAATAATGTATATCATATGTTTTGATTGTAATTATTGTTGCTTTTATGAAAGCTGGTAAAGGTGCAGCTATAGTTTTAATGACTGTATACTGCAGGGTAGATAATGAAAATACTCTAAGTCTTATTTAAGTGTTGATAATATTTCACATCATTATTCCAAATCTGAAAAGTAACTAAAGGTACAAAAATAAATGTAGTGGAGTAAAAGTACACAATTTACCTTTGAATTGTAGTGGAGTAGTACAAAGTATCATAAAATGGAAATATTCAAGTAAAGTACAAGTGCTGTATCTCAAAATTGTACTTAAGTACAGTACTTGAGTACATCTACTTAGATGCTTTTCACCACTGATTGGGAGCATATACTTTTGAGAGTCAACAATAGAGAACCAACTACACCGTGAAAGGGTGAGTTGGCACATATTACGAAGGGATCACAAATCAGAAATGTGATGCAACAGTGCCACTCAGGCTGACATCTGCTGAAATCATAAACTTGAATAATTCTGGAATTACATCATTTTACTTTAATTTCTAGGTTTTCTTTTTTTATTTGACTTAATATACAGTCCGTTTTGGCCACTGGTTACCAATTTAAGGGTTGTGTCAAAAGTTAAATGTAAGGGTTCTTGACACATATATTGATTTTTACAACATTTCTCACATATTTGCGTAATTGTGGTGACATTTGGCATCAAGCTGTTATTTAAATGGTACCATTACAGAAGTGAAGTGGGGAAAGCTCTCTTTGATTGTAATATGTTAAATATTCATTAATATGGTTCTGTCAATAACTGTATTCACCCCTTAACTTAAACATTGTGGTAATAATGGGAACCAACTCTTTATGTGAGTGAGTGTCCTGCATGATTTAGGCCAATCTGGTTGTTGGAGTTATAATCATTCTTTTTTTATTCTGGACCAATCAAGAGGAGTTTAACACTTTTTACCATCTGATGACCTAAATAAGGAGTGAACCCCTGCAGAGCTGAGGCTTAGCTGAGGGATTGACACACTGATACACTGGATTGTCACAAACGAGCTGAGGACCAAAATGCAGAACACGGGAAACCAGGGATAGTCGGTAACCAGCTTTATTGAAGACAATATGCTGGTAGGAGACAAAATGGCAGATAGTCGGCAAAGGGCTGGTCGGGGACAGGCGAGGGTTCCAGGAGAAAGCAGGACGGGAGTCGCAGGTACAGAACGGGTCAGGGAGCAGGCGAGGCAGGCTGGTCAGGGACAGGCAGGGTCGAAACCGGGAGAGCAATCTGTAGGGTAATGCGGGAAAGACTGGCATGCTGCAAAGTACGATCTGGCACTGAGGTGAAAGTGAAGTGGGCCTAAATACTAATGGAGCTGATGGGTGTAACAGAGTGAGAGAGAGAGACAGGGTGTGACTACCAGGTGACTAAGGA